TTACTACTGCCTCTACTTGTCTCCATTGTATATGACCAAATTATCTAAATCTAATCTCTCTCACTTTATCTTTTATCAGTGCTACTCCTACCCACTCACGAATAAACTCGTTTCAAACTGTCTTTTTTAGCCTTATCACACATCTACCATAACATTCTCATCTCAGTAACACTCATCTTATTTACATGTTTTTTAATTGCCCAACATTCCATCTCATCCAACATCACTGATCTAATAGCCGTTCTATAGAACTCTTCTTTTAGTCTAGTGGATTTTCATTTATTATACAGTGCCCCAGATGCACTCCTCCCCTTAATCCACCTCGCCTTAATTCTATGAACCACATCTGCTCCAATCTCCCCAGTCATTGTGATAATCGATCCGAGATAACGAAAATGTTCACTCTTAGGTAGTTCTTGGTTCTCAATCTTCACCTCTCATCTGTTTCCATTGTTATTGTTACTAAAATTACACTCCATGTATTTTATCGTAATTCTGCTTATCCTAAATATTTTAGATTCAAGTGTTTCTCTCTAAGTCTCCAACTTTGTGTTAACTCATTCTCTAGTCTCATTTACTAACACAATATCATCTATAAAAAGCATACACCATGGCATTGTAAGAAATGGTTTTGGAAAAAAAACAATGTTTTCTAAAATTTTGGTCTATTTTTTAAGTAAGACTCATGTATCAAAGTTGGCGGGTCTATGTGGCAACGTTTTCTTTGCCGCGTAATGATTCACGTCGTATATTTGGTTGCTCAAAACCATTATTGGAGAATGGAAAATCAATGCCAAAATGAGCTCCATAGAAACAGTGTTTTGGTGATGTTTCCATAAGGGATGTAGAACAGGCTTGTCCCACACATTGCTTAAGTGGACAAACTTTGTGTGGATTTATAAGCCTTGAGTAGGGCTGAGCAAGGAATCCGTGAAATCCGTAATCCGATCCAGTCCAGTCCAATCCAGTAGGTTTGGATTGGTTTTTTGAATCCGTGGTTTGGTTCCGGATTGAAAAATTAAAAATCCGTAGTTCACGGATTGGTTCCGGATTGAATCCCACGGTTCTGGTGATGTTTCCATAAGGAATGTAGAACAGGCTTGTCCCACACATTGCTTAAGTGGACAAACTTTGTGTGGATTTATAAGCCTTGAGTTTGCATCCTGGAGAGAGCCCCAAGGGGTACCCAAGTTTTGTGGATAGGGGGTTATGGGGAAAGTGGGCCTTGACTTATTGGACCCAAAAATTACCACAAGTGCACGTGCTTCACCCGCTCACTCGAACCGGACTGGGCTTGGACGCAGGTGCGAGATGTGAGATTGGGTTGGGCTTGTGTAGTCCAATACTTATCTTCTTGGGCCAAAAACATTTTAATTTTATTTTTTTTAAAATTAAATTCTTGTCGTTTGGAATTTGAATTTCGATTTGAAATACAGGTTCTTTACCTGTTCAAATTCAACCCGAACAGGTTTTTTACCTGTTCAACTCTGTCCTAAATAGCCACCAAGTCTCCTATAAATAGACAAGTCCTCCATTTGGTTTTTGATTCAATTTTCGTTCTTCCTTCTGCTTTTGCTTCCTGCTTTTTGCTGTATAAATTTAGGCCAAGTTTGGCATCCTCCAAAAAATCCAAAAAGTCACTATCCTATTTAAGTCACATCATCTTATTTAAGTCACATCACCTCTCTAACACATCACTTCAAACCCAACCCAAATCCAACCCATATTTCATAAAAAGTCAAAAAGTGCACTTATTTAGTCTTCCCAAACTTGGCCTTACTGTAAGAAAGAGTATAAACACAAAGTATGTTCGCTGGACATTTAGTTTGTAGTGCTGCTAATAATTGTCGTCAATCATTTTATCCTAAGAAATAGACGTCCACATTCTGAAAATACCGTAGAGGGGACAAATCTGTCTTAAGGAAACAATATTGAACGCTAGACTTAATTGAATTTATGAGAACTTGAATTTCCGAGAAAGTAATATTGTAAGTAGGTTGTTTATTTATTTATTTATTTATTTTCCTCCAGATTCTGTTTTGTTTTTGTAACAAAAATAAGAATATGTTTTTTTTATTTTTATTTTTGTTTTTTATATCCTTTTCCAATTTTAGTAATCAAACAGAATCTCTCATTTCCTAATTTATTCTTCGACTACAGTGAAGATTGTCTAACAGGCACATCATCCTGAATATTTCTTGTCAACTCATCCATAACTAAAGCAAAAAGATAAGAATTTAAGGTTGATCATTGGTGTAATCCTATAGTAATTAAAAATTCATTTGTCTCTCCATCCGGCGATCTAATAATGGTCACTATACCTTTATACATGTCCCTAATCACATCAATGTAACCTTTTGTCATCCCTTTCTTCTCTAACACCCACCAGATTATATCTCGAGGTACTCTATTATATACTTTCTCAAGATCAATAAAAATCATATGAATGTCTCTTTTCTTCTCTCTATACGTTTCCATTACTCTCCTCAAAAGATAGATCACTTCCATTGTTGACTTACCAGGCATAAATCCAAATTGATTCTCTGACACCTCTGTTATATCTCGCAATCGACGTTTCATCATTCTCTCACTTTCATTATACGGCACATCAGCTTGATTCATCTATAGTTGTTACAATTCTAGATATCTCCTTTATTCTTATATATTGGCATTAAAATACTCTTCCTCCACCCCTTTGGCATTTTTCTAATCAACAAAATCTTGTTAATAATTAGTCAACAAAATCATTATGATAAAATAATTAATTTTCTTCATCCAATGAACCAAACACTTATTAACTTATAATACTCAACTTATAGAAATATATACACTAGTTCGAAATGATAGCGTTGTTGTAATTCTTAATCATAGAAAAATGTTAATAAAAGAGAAGTAAGAAAACCTTAAAATATGAGAAAAAATTATGTAATCATGTGCATTACTCATTAATTTCTATTACTGTGATTTAATGTGCTATACATAATATGACTTGATTCTGAAAGTATAAATAGGTTTAAAACAAATTTTACAATTACATCACATTTATATAAAATTAATTAAATATATATAAGATCCATTAATGGCTAATGCTAATAAGACAAAAATGTACCCAGCAAAAATAAATAAATAAGACAGAAATAACTTTTGTCACTTAGTTAATTTAATTTCGCTTTTTCATTTTTATAGAGTCAGTATCTGTGCCATTTACATTAGTCATTAAATTCTATTGTTGTGATTTAATGTTTTATATAATATGAATTTATTATGATAGTATAAACAGCAATGCTAGGTATCATGAAAAATCTTTTATGAAAATAATCCTGAAAGCTTCTTGATCCTTGGATTACACTTAGAATAAAACACCACACACTAATCAAGGTAATCCAATGATCATAAATTTTTCATGATCATTTTCATGACAAAATTTTCATGATCCCTAACTTTTCCCGAGTCTAACTTTTCCCGAGTATAAATAGGTGATGTTCTAATGAGAGAGAGAGGGGGTCAAAGGGGTGGGGGGAAAAGGAGGGATGAATCATTACTCTTCATTTTTATAGAGTCGGTATCTGTGCCATTTACATTAGTCATTAAATTCTATTGTTGTGATTTAATGTTTTATATAATATGACTTTATTATGATAGTATAAACAGCAATGCTAGGTATCATGAAAAATCTTTTATGAAAATAATCCTGAAAGCTTCTTGACCTTTGGATTACACTTAGAATAAAACACCACACACTAATCAAGATAATCCAAGGATCATAAATTTTTCATGATCATTTTCATGACAAAATTTTCATGATCCCTAACTTTTCCCGAGTCTAACTTTTCCCGAGTATAAATAGGTGATGTTCTACAATTAGATCACACACTTACTATAGAATTAAATTTAATATATCCATCAAAGCTACTATTAACGTTACCAGTATGATAAAAACAACTTTTGCCTCCTTGTGTAGAAATCTTGAAAACAATTCTCATTGATTCAATTGGTAATACATCATTGTATATATATGTACATAGATCACTAATCTGTTCTAACTGACTGGCAACTATACTTATAACTACGTAGTAGACTGTTAAAATATAACTAACTCACTAATCATGGGTTAGACTCTAAGCTAACCTAAGCCTAACCTTGAGCTGCAACTGTAGCTTGAGTTGTGCCTTGAATTTGTAGAGTTGTGTGTTGATCCTCTTCACCCCCTGTAAGCTGATGGGAGGAATGGTGACCAGCAGCTTGGTCTGAAGATAGTGAAATCTGGATGTAGATAAGGGCTTAGTGAATACATCTACTATTTGGTCAAATGTAGGAACATATTGAAGGATAAGCTTCTTAGCAGCCACCTTCTTCCCTAATGAAATGACTATCCACTTCTATATGCTTGGACTTTGTGTGGAAGACATGATTGGAGGCAAAAGCTATGGCTGAGAGATTATCACACCATAGAATAGGAGTGGGAACAATAGGCAAACCCAAATCAATAAGAAACAGCTGTAACCAATTTAGTTCGGCTGTAGCTTAAGCCAATGAGCTGTATTCTGCTTCTACGGATGATCTTGAGACAGTAGGCTGCTTTTTAGCAGACCAAGAAATTAAGTTTGAGCCAACAAATACACAATATATTGAAGTAGACTTACAATCCAAAGCATCTCCAGCCCAATTAGAATAAGAGAAAACTTGTAGATGAAAAGAACTGGGACTGAAAGTGAGACCATGAGAAAAAGTCTGAGAATTCTTTTTACCAAGTTTCTATAAAGCTCAGGTAGATGAAAAGGCAAAGAAACCTGTGGACTAGCAGAAGGCTTGACAGACATGGGTATGGGATAAGGTTTGCAAGATGTGATACCAACTTTAACAAGAATCTCAGAGGCATATTTGTGTTGGGTGAGAAAATAAGAATCACCAACAGACTTAATTGAGATGCCCAGGAAATAGATGTGACCAAGCTCTTTCATAGCAAAAGCAGTGTGCATGTGTCGAACAAGTTCTTGAATTTAAGGAATACTACTGCTAGTGAGTAGAATGTCATCCACATAAACAAGTAGGATAGTGATACAGGAAGTCTTCTGGATGAACAGAGAATTATCACAATAACTGTTAACAAACCTTTGGCTAATGAGAAATTTAGAAAATGTAGAGTACCATGCCTAAGGGGCTTGTTTGAGACCATAGAGAGCCTTCTTAAGTTTGCAAACATGATGAGGGTAAGATGAATTTGAAAACCCAAGTGGTTGTAACATGTATACCTCTTCCTCCAATGTTCCATGAAGAAAAGCATTACTTATGTCAAGCTGCTTAAGCGGCCATTGATAATGTAAGGCAATGCATAGCAACATCCTAATAGTAGGTTGTTTAGCTACAGGGCTGGAAGTTTCATTGTAATCAACCCCCTCTTGTTGCAAAAATCCCTTAGCAACCAACCTGGCCTTGTGCCTAGTAATAGTGCCATCAGAGTTTCTTTTGATCTTGAATACCCACTTGCAACCAATAGGTGTTTTGGAAGAAGGAAAAGGGACAAGTGACCAAGTCCCTTGCTGCATTAGAGCTTTCTACTCATCTTGCATAGTAGCAGTACAGATTGGATATTGAAGAGCAAGTTTGTAATTGAGAGGCTCAGTGCCATCAGAGTTTCTTTTGATCTTGAATACCAACTTGCAACCAATAGGTGTTTTGGAAGAAGGAAAAGGGACAAGAGACCAAGTCCCTTGCTGCATAAGAGCTTTCTACTCATCTTGCATAGTAGCAGTACAGATTGGATTTTGAAGAGCAAGTTTGTAATTGAGAGGTTCAGTGTCAGCAGTGGAAGAAATAGGAGCAGTCATAGCGGAGATAGCCAAGCATTGAGTATGAGATTTGGACCTAGCGGTCATGAGGTGAGTATTAAGAGAAGAAGTGGAGGAATTGGAAGAATAGAATGTAAGAGTGGAAAATCAATGGAAATAGACTGAATAGGAATGGGATTAGCCTTGGATTACACATGGTTGGGAGGGTAAAATAGAGTTGAACACAGAAGAGGAAGGATCAGAATAAATACGGGAGATAAAAGAAGGAAAAAGAGATGAAACTGAAGATATAATAGGTGAACTGAGAGAGGGAAACAGAAGGTGCAGTCCAGAAGAAAGATCGAAGATCAGGCAAAGAGGAGACTGGAGAAAAAGAAAGCTGAGAAGATGAAGAAGATTGAGACAGAGCAAATGGAATACTGTCTTCATGAAAAGTGGCATGCCTAGAAAGAAAAACTTTACCAAAAGATGGATCCAAACACCCATATCCTTTAACTGAAGGATGATATCCCAAAAATACACAAACTACAGGCTTGGGCTGCAGCAACTTATGAGATGTTTACGGTTTGACCCATGAATGACACAAACATCCAAACAGTTTCATAAGCTCATAGGATGGAATTTTATGATAAAGCAGCTCATATGGTGATTGATGATTGAGTTGAGAACTTCTATTGATAAACTGAGTAGCAACAGAGATAGCATCAAACAAATATTGAAGAGGAACAGAAGAATGATGAAGCAAAGTTATGGCTGTTTCAGTGATATGACTATGTTTCCTCTCAGAAACACCATTCTGAGGAGTGTAAAGGCAAGAAGTTTGATGAAGGATGCCATGATTTTGTAAAAATTTGGCCATGGAGTATTAATAAACTCAGTGCCACCATCTGTTCTAAGCAGTTGCAAACTAGTAGAAAATTGGTTTTCAACAAAAACCTTGAATTCTAAGAACTTTCAAAAATTTCACTTTTATAGCACAAAGGGTAAAGTCATGTGAATTTAGTAAATTCATCAACAAACAACACATAAGATTTAAAACTAGAACAAGAAGCAGTAAATGGTCCCCAAACATGACTATTATTAATGAGAATCATCTGTGTACAGTAGAATTGGAAACAGAAAATGGAAGTCCATGATTTTTAGAGACACAACAATCTTGACAAGGATGTGACACACCCTTTGTTTTATTTATAGCAAAAGTAAAATGCTTTTTCATGTGAGCAAACTTCAAGGCAAAAGGATGGCCCAATCGCTTATGCCATATAGATTCTGAGGCAAATGCATTACTAGGACTAAAATAGATAGAGGAGAATGCAGCAGAAGAAGGAGCATGTGAAGCATGAGAGTCTGGAAAATGATAGAGGCCATAAGAATTAAACCATTTATGTAAAATGGTCTTGGTGGTGTTGTCCTGAACAACAAAAGCAGAGTCATTAAAAGTAACAGTGCAATTTTTGTCTTTAGTGAGTTGATGCACAAAGAACAAATTTGAAGAAACAGAAGCATATAAGTGCCATGACCCAAACCCGCCCCCGTGGGTTAAGGACATAACCGGCCAGTAATCAAGAGATTACCTACGGCCTTGAACCAAACCAAACGTATTTTAACCGAGTTAATGGGGGCCAAACGGAAGCAATTTAAAACTTTGTCTATAAAGCTGTGCTTACATAGCACATCATAACAAACCATACATATGCATATTAATAACTCACAACAAAATATGTACTACATAAGGTTCTGTACATACAGGATCATATAAGTCTAAGTCAACCCGTCACGACTATATACAACAGATGCAAAGTCTTCGCCAACATGACAGAATATAAATACATAACAAAAGGGCGAAGACGGGTCTCGTGCGTGAGACACAAGGGCTGACTCTCCCAAAACCTTTGTTGTTCCACATAGACTTCACTGGGGCTGAGTTTAGACTTCTCTTGGCTCACCGACAAACACATGAATGAGCGTGAGCAAAAGCCCAGTGAATAATATCAATTAAAGAAGCTATACAGACGATATGTAGAACAACATGCTTCAAACGGCCTTAGGCCCAATTCATATTTCTATTTAACATATATACACAATTTAGATCAAGTGACTGCAGTTCCAAACAAACTGGCCTTTGGCCCATTCAAACTTTCATTTGTGTCAAAACGGCCTTTGGCCCATTCAGATGACAAAATGGCCTTTAGTCCATTCATTCGTTCATGTCAAAACGGCCTCCGGCCCATTCATTCATATCAAAACGACCTCTGGCCCATCCATTCATGCCAAAACGGCCTCTGGCCCATCCATTCATGCCAAAACAACCTCTGGCCCATCCATTCATGTCAAAACGGCCTCCGGCCCATTCATCATGTCAAAACGGTCTCTGGCCCATTCATTCTATTATTCAGATCAGACTGGCCTCTGGCCCACTCATTTGGTATAGCAAACATTGTCCACCAATCGAATCAATAAACTTATAAAACTTACATAGAAGTAAGCAATTGGACAACAACATATTTCAAATATCTCTATTAAGATATTACTCACAGTGATCGGTTGGTTGGTTTGCCCTGGAGCTCGACACTACACATTCCATGAACACAAAAGGGTCACAAACAATTCGATCTATTCTAAATTCACATTTTCCTCTTTAGGCTTCATTCTTATCTCTTTAACTCAATTACAATGCTCAATGCATGCCTAAGAGTACTTGGAAGTGAAAGAGAACAGAAAATGAAACACAGAATGTCTTTTCAAAATTTCAGAAAACAGGTTCCCCGCTCGAGGGTGGACTTCCCCGCTCGAGCGGACCCTTGAGGCCTGCAAAAGTACTGGATATGTCAAATTTACGCTCGATCGCGAACTCTGGCGCTCGAGTGGAAGGCCTCTCTACATGGCTCCCCGCTCGAGCGTTAACTTTCCCGCTCAAGCGGACACCATGTCTGCAAAAAATACTGGGAACACGAATTTCATGCTCGAGCGGCAGTTTCCCCGCTCGAGCGGGAATCAAAATTCTGGAAAATCCAGAACATGTTCTTGAGCTTCAATTCGACATTCAAAGGTTCTAGATGCATGTTTTTGGCTCAAACATCACGTATACATGTACTAACATGGTATAAACACCAAATCACAACACAATGAAGCTCAATTTCATGAATCAAACACATGCATGTCCCAAATTGACTCAAACTCATCACCAACACACTAAATTCAAACATTTAAGGTTCATACTTCCATGATTTGCACTTGCATGTGGAATATACACAATATCCTCAACTTAATTGGTGAAGAGGTGATCAAATATATTGACTTAAACCAAAAATTCAACATGGATCATACACATTGTGCTCAAATATGGAAATTCATAGTAATTTCCTATATGCATGCATCTATTGACTTTAAATTCAACAAATACAACTCAATTTATGATCTAACCCACCATTTAATCTTCAATTCACAAACTCACAATTCAAACTTATGAATTAAGGGTTGATTACTCACCTAGGAGCTTTAATCTTCCAAACTTGTGCTTAATTCTTGAGTGTAGCTTCAAGATTACCAAGTTCCTTAGCAAATCTCTACTTTGAGCCTCTTCTCTCACTAAATTCGGCCCCTCTCTCTCTCTAGAGCATAATTTCAGAACTTGAACTCAAAAAGAAACAAATATGAGAGTGTAATGGCCTTAATAAGAGCTCCCTTGGTCACATTATTTTAATATAAAATAATTGAGCACTAATTCATCAAATTCAATCTAATTAATTTGATCCGAATCAATTTTCAATTAAATTTCACCGCAGGCTCTAAAAATTGAGCTAATCACAATGGCGCAATCAATTTCGGGTTTCGTGGCCGATAAGGCCTTCAAATTAATTTCCAAAGCAGATAATCAAACAGATATTCCTACGGTGAACAGATAGAAATTCAAAACTACATATTTTTACATAATGGCACACAAAATCATATTAAACACATAATCACATTCATGTTAAGGACCAATTAACATATTACGGAACAGGGATATCACAATAAGATTTTGTTTAGTTTAAAAGAAAAATGAGGAGTTGGAAGTAAGCTCTTACCCGTGTTAAGAATAGGAAGAGATTGGCCATTGCCAATAGTGATTTGCTTAGAGCCTTGATAAGGTTGATACACTTAGAGATTGCTCAAATCATTAGTGATGTGATCAGAAGCAACTGATAAGATTGATCAAGCCGATGCCAACAATCAAAGGCAGTTGGTTATTTTTACAACAAATTTGACATATCAAATTTTGTCTACCTCGACCTCTATTGGGAAACCTACCACCTCCTTTGGAACCACCTCTATAACTACCTCCTTTGTTGGCGTGAAATGAAGAACGTCCTCTTGAATAAGAAGAACTAGAACCAAAATTGGCGTTTGAACTCCTAGATGCAGCATAAGCAACAATAGTTTCATGTGCTTGAAGCTTTTTTTTGTTTGTTTAGACTCAATATGAATTGATTCAGAACAAAGAAGAGCATATAGCTCCTCCATGGAAATAGCTTCGAATCTTGCCCTAATAGTTGTCTTTAAAGCATCAAATTCATCAAGCAATCCATTTAAGGTAAGCAAAACTAGGTCTTCTTTATCAACAAAAGATGAAGCAAGAGCCAATTGATCAGCCAAATCTTTGATTTAAGATAAGTATTCTTCAATAGTTCATGATTCCTTTATGAAATTAGAAAGTGTTTCCTAAACTTCAGAGTTATGTTGAAGATGAATAACGCATGAGAAGATCGGAGGTATAA